CCCACACTGTGTCACTGGTGTTGTCCCCCGCAGGGCCATGGGCCAGTGAGGGGCAGCACGTCTCATAGTGGGGCTGGCCATGTGGTCCTCTCTGTGGACTGGCTTCTCTATTTGGGGTCATCGTCCTCAAGGTAGAGCTGATCTTTTAAAAGAGATTTGACCATGAAAAGACAGAAAGAAAATGTTCTAAAATTGATTGGGGTTATGATTGTATACCTTTTCTTGATATGGTTGAATTACTGAATTGTATGATATGTGGATTATGTACCAACTGAAAAATAACCAAAAAAAAAACCTATGTGGGTGCAAATCTCCTCTGTCTTCACCCCACTGTGCACGTAGTCAGCATCCACTAGAAAACAAGTAACAATGACCGTAAGTTATGAAAATAATGATGAAGGTCAATGTGCCCCCATTGAACCCGTGCACACAAGAGCTGGCGGAAGAGGAGAGTGAGAGACCGGATGTAAGACACCATCGTGGTTAGCCAGCTCCGTCTGCCCTTCACCCAGCCTGTAGCTCCACTTGCCCTGGAAACAACGGGAGAAGGGAAAGCCATCAGGAAAGCCCACCATGATCCAGAGCCACGGGAGCCTTCATGAGGGCCCCTCCCCAGTCGCTCCGTGGATTCTGCCTTGTTCTCATAAAAAATCACACTCCCACCTTCCTTTGCCTGTCAATTCCCATTCCCAGGAACACAGCAGGCTCATTCCAGCATTCCAGCAACATTCTCACTTGTCTTTCCACCTCCACGCTCATCCCTGGCATGCAGTGCATGCTGACTCACAGTGATTGCACTGTACCTGGGACAGGAGCAGAAAGCCCAGTCTTTCTCCCAAGGAGCCAGTGGTGGTTTTGAAATGTTGACTTTGAGGATCATAGCCGAACACACAACCACCAGGCTAGCAGGGCACCCCCCGATCGTGCTAGGAAGACTAAGGGCCAGGACCAAGAGCCCCAAGCCAATGCCCTCTCTCCTTTCTACGCCTGAGCCCTCCCCCGACAGAGGGAGAGGCCTCCCCCAAACAAGGCTCCCAATGATGTTTGCTTCAGGCCTGGAGGCGGTCACCAACAGAATTCCTTCTCTCACCTCACTCAGCTGTACGCCCTTGTCACCTGCTGAGGGACACACACACGAGTGCCCATCCCAGCTCCACTGGCCTAGTCGTGACACACACTGACTGCACCTCGGCTGAGTGCCTCTCCACACCTGCCCCCACACCACCGGACACAGTTCATTTGAGCTGGAGGCTCAGCTGACCTGCAAGCCCGTCTAGGAGTACATGGCTACTGATGGATCTGCACATTTACCTGACCGGGGACCCACCTGGCTCCTGGGGACCTCACCTTCTCTTGACCCTCTACACCGGCCAGGCTCTTAAGCTGCCAGATGCCCTGCTTGCTGGTGACCATTGCACTTGGCCACTAGAGACCCACACTCACCCACGACAACCCATTCTGCTGCCTCTCAGAGCACATGCCGGGCACGGAGCAGGCTCCTCTCCAGCAGCCGGAGGCCGTCCTGGCCGCTGACCACGTCACTTGGCCACTAGAGACACGGCTGCCGCGCTAGTTGGCCACTAAGCTGAGGCAGCCAGGAGGGCCAGCCCCCACCACAGATCTGCCTGAACCCTAGCCGGGCCTGCTGGCAATGGGCATGACACACAGGTGCAGGGACCTCAAGGTCTTGGCTGCTCAGGACTACGGGGCACACTGTGGGCAAAGGAGGGAAATCACTGTCGCGGCCCTGCTGGTGGTCACCTAGACCCAGGGGCTCGGCAGAAGGACCAGAGCTCCTGGGGGCCTCCCCCTCTCACCCACGGTTCCTGAACCAGGAAACATCGGATGTTCTTCTTCATCTCCAGCAGTGGGACTGGGGGCAGATTCCGGGCACGGACCAGGTCAGTGACCACCAGGAGAGAGGGCAACGGGCTCAGAGAGGACAGGGACACAGGACACAGGACAAGGGGTCCAGTAAACAGTGCTCCAGACTGTCCCCACAGGGATGGACAGGGAACCCTGAGAGGCAGGACAAAGCCAGGGACACGGCTCCCTGAGGAGGGCTGGTCCCTCTTCCCAATGGGTAGGGGACCGCTTCTGCTCTCCTCCCAGGAGGCCCCCAAGGGAGCACGGGAAACCTGAGCAGCCATGTGGGAGCCTGGAGAAGAAGACTGGAGGGGCTCAGGCGGTATTCAGGGAAACCTCACTCAGGTCTCAGGTCGGCAGGGAGCCCTGTTTCAGCTCACTGACCTTTTCTTGGCTTTTCTCGTGAGGGTGGAGATATTGGGGGGAGAGGGGGGCAGACCGACACTAGAGGCATCATATCTCATCCTTATTCCTGTGAGGCTTACCCACCCCTGCCCACCCACCCGACCACAAGGCTCCCTCGGATGCCAGCCCTCCGCGGCCTTGCCAGTCCGGCCAGGATTCCTGGTACATCCCAGGTCCAGGCTTGGGAGCCTGAGAGATGGAGAGAGGAGAGGGTACAGAGGGGAGCCAGGGACCCTCATTAGACACTCCCCTCACAGAGGTAGCCAGGGTGCAGGCTGGATGCCAGGACTTCAGCCAGGTCATGAACAGGAGTGGGAATGAGGGGGGTTTAATGGGGATACCGGTCCCGCAAACCTCAACCTTTCATCTCCATTACTCTCGGGTGAGAGGCAGAAGGCCTGTCCTGTCCACCTCCCCTGCTCAGAGGGAGATGGGAGGAGACCCGCCACCAGTGGAGGCCCTCCATCCACCATTCCGCGGTTGTTTCCTCACCTGGGCTTTGCTGACCTGATGTCCTCCTCTTCTTCAGGACCCCCAACCACACACAGACTATAAGGATCCCGACACCACCACCAACAACAGCCCCCAAAATCACAGAAGAGTCGGTCCACGTATATTTTGGCAATGATGTCATTCCTGAAAACAGAAAGCCATTATTACAACCTGGACCTCACCACACACAAGCCTCCTAGTCTCTCCCTGGCCAGAACCACGGCTTCCACCTCCAAGCGCCCCCAAGTTGCCCCTGCTCACCACAGGGCACAGGGTGGGCACTGCTGTTCCTGCCCAGTTCCACCTGGCAGCTGTACGTCCGCTCCTCTCCGAGGGGAACCTCAGTGGACACGCAGGTGCCATTCCCACTGGACAGGTCTCCCCAGCGGCTCTGGTTATGTTGGGTCAAGGGCTGCCCATCATGAAGCCAGGTGGGTGAGATGCGCCCGGGAGAGACGGCCAACGCGCAGCAAGTCAGGCCGGTGGTGTGCTCTGTGGTCCTGTTGCAAGTGACACTCACTGCTGGCGGCTCTGGGAGGGGACAGGGCAGAGCAGAGAGGCACGTGGCCCAGTGCTGCCTGAGAGTCTGTCCCAGAACAGGCCTGGTCCTCTCCCGCTGCCCTGCACGGGCTCCAGCCAAGTCCTGCAAGAGCCCTGGGGCTCCATGCTGCTCACTCGTGTGTGTGTGTGTGTGTGTGTGTGGGTCCCTCAGACTGACAGGAAGATGGGGCCTGGTGGGGGAGAGGGGGAGTAGCGGTCTCCTGGGACATAGGACCTAACAGCGCACTCCCCAGGGTCAGGCAGGTGGCAGACAGATGGGAGCAAGCCCAGGAATCTGGGGCCCCCGCGGGCAAAGGGCAGCCGAGCCCCACTTCCAGAGTCAGTTTCCCAGCTCAAGGTCCCTGGATGGTGACAACTGACAGCCTACTCCCAACTCCGCCGCTGATGCTTCATGGGAGCTGTCACTGGAGGGACTCAGAATACAACATCCCAGAGAGCCTGCTGGCAGCTCACAGGACAGGGAGAGGTCCCTCAGGGCGGGCAGAGTGGGGGGCCCAGGGCATGGCAGGGCAGGAGGGTCTGCCCCTGGACCAGTACCTGTTTGTTCGTGGAAGGTCTTCCAGGACCTGAGATAGTGCTGTAATTTTTTACACATATCTCCCTGCACGCGGTGTCTGTAATCCTTGGGTCTGTCCTCATCCACATCCCACTTCTGCTTCATCTTCTCAGCCAAGGGCTGGAACGAGGATGGGAGCGGCTTCCAAGTCTCATTCTCCGGCAGATAGGCCAGGAGAGGCTCCCCAGCGCAATGGTATTCCCAAAATCCTCTGAAACTGTTGTCTTCCTGGACCTCACAGCCCAGCATCTCCTGGAGGGAATGTAAGCCTACCCACACCCAGCAGTCATTTCTCCATCCCTGGGTCCCTCTGCCCCCACCCTCCCCATGGCAGGAAACGCCAGCCCAGAGGGGCCTCCTGCTCCCTTCCATCTCTGCCCTGGGGCTGCCTGAGGGTTTTCCCTACTCCAGCTGAACACCACACCCCCAGGCCTGCCCCCCACACCCCAGCTACGTGCAGTAGAATGAGACAGCTCCCCCTTCTCTGTCCCCTGGTCAAAGCGGTCACAC